TATATATACAATTGCTGAGTATAAAGAGATGATTGCACATATGCTTCCAGGTTGGCCTTGGGGACTGCCCCACCCTTGGAGACTTAACCCCTGGGTCATAACTTTGAAATGGTTAATATCCCCACTCCAAAACTATATATACAATTGTTGGGCATAAAGACACGAATGCAGTTATGATATTAGAATTGATCCCTTGGTCTGCCCCACCCTTGCTGACTTGGCCCCTGGGTCATAACTTTGAAACGGTTGAGATCCCCACCCCAAAACTATATATACAAATGCTGGGCAAAAAGAGACAAATGCAGTCAAGATATTAGAATCGATCCTGGGGTCTGGACACAACTCTAGGGACCTAGTTTCTGAGTCAAAGCTTGGAAACAGTTGAGATCCCCACCCCATAACCATACATAAAATTGCTGGGCATGAAAAATCTAATATAGCTATGCTACAAGGATTGGCCTTGGGGTCTGGCCTATTCCCCTGATCTCATTTGGAGAATAGTTTGCCATGATTGCTTTGGTATCCAGGTGAGCGATACAGGCCCTCTGGGCCTCTTGTTAAAATGTATATCCTATGTCTGTCTCACTTTGTCCCTTATACTTTCTTTGTTTCAACCTGATATTTCATTAAGTCATTGTGTAGATTGCTGCTAATTATAAGCTGAAATATACATGTACATGTTAAGATACATGTACCGCATTGTTTTAGTCATTACATTATATTTGTACAAAGGTTTTGGATCATTGTGTTTTGATATAAGCATCAATGAATTTGGACTAACATATTTTCACTACCAGTACATATAAGTAGATTATTTTTAAAAGTACAGTAGGACTTTGTTATACTGTAGTATGTACATATACTGCCACCATTTGTGCAGCGAAATGTTGTCATAATAAAGGGGTTTTAGCTGTATGTATAATAAGGTAAATGTTGTAAAGATGAATGAGAGTGTACCAGTATGTTATCAGTAGAGACTAGGGAGGTAGGAAATGAAACAAGGGGCGTATACTGAGGTATACAATGTGATCATTTGATGGAGTGTGTGTCAGATGTGGTGCCTACAGTCAGTGCTTGAAATCTTATTTAGAAGGAAACAATATTCAAAACATTTTTGATTTTAAGGTTAGGAAAAATATGTGTAGATTTTGCATCTATGTATTTGAAGAACTGTTAACTCACCCAAGGTTTAGCATATCTCGTATACCCTGAATACCCAGTATTTGTAGTATGGTAAGATGATTGTGATAAGATAGGAAATTACTGTTTGATGCTATCACTACTGTTTACAAATTGAGATATGTTTATATGGTGTGATTATGTTATCTAAACAGAAATAAAAGGGGATTTTTCTTTTTCTTGTTTGTTTCCTAAGTTTCAATGGCATAGAATCTTTACGAATTGAATAGTGAACATGTTCTAGTAGTTTTCATTTTCTCTAACAGTTAACTATATAGACTTCTGTAATTTAACTAGTACCAGGTATTTATAATCAAGACAATTACAAATATTTCCAGCTTAATATAAATAATAATTTTAATATGATTTAAAAAAATATATAAATTTTGTTGGACATGTGGTAATGTCATACCAGCAATCTGTATATAATTATACCTGTAAGCAATCTGTATATAATTATACCTGTAAGCAATCTAGTGTATAATTATAAGCAATCTAGTATAAATCTACTTGTGGTAATACATGTGTACATGTACATATATACCAGTATGTACAAATATAAATGGGGTAATGTTAAACCAACATGCTAGTTTACATACATTAGGTACATGAATGTAATGGATCCAGAGTTATAAGTGTTCAGTCAAGGCATAATAGTGTGTTAAACAACGTGTGAAAGCTCACCAACGCTATCTATATATAGACAGGTGACGCTTTAATTCCAGTGTGTATTATAACATTTAGCAAAAAAGAATCTCTCACTTGACAGTTGGTGCATTTATACAAAGACATGGTACATCAGATAATCAAGCTAGGATGTAGATTGTGTTATTGAAAAATACCAATATACACAATAAAACCCCTGTGTAATAACAGATAAATGTTGTTTTCGTAGATCCAGAATGGGCATCTTGTAACGTAGGGATATTCTTGTGTGAACGATGTGCTGGGCTCCACAGAGGTCTAGGTGTCGACATCAGCAGGGTGAAGTCAATCCGACTGGACAACTGGGATTCAGATCATGTCAAGGTCAGTGCTACCAGTGTGTAAGGATATATAGTACTGATGTCATCAACACATACAAATTAAGGACTTGTACATTACAAGGTCATTTTACAATTTTCAGAGTTACAAGGGCCAGTAACAGGAGGTTGTGAGTTATGAGGTCAGATCAGTTTTACATTGTTAAACAAGGTCAAGGTCAAACAAAGGCTGGTTGCAGTAGATTGGGAATGATTCAGTCAGATATTATTTACATGAGTTTAAAAGGTCAAAGTAGCAAGGGCCAGTTGTAGAAGGTTGTGAGTAATGATGTTGATAACACTTCACATGTTAAAGAGGTCATGTTGATATATTTAGCTCTTTATGAAATCAGTGTCAGTGTTTAATGTCAGGGTTACTTTAAAGCAACTTGAGAAAAGGCATGGTTACATATAGAAAGCCCAGATAATGTCACAGTTATATAGACAAATCAGAGAAGGTTAATGTTACTGCTTGATGAGGCCAAGATTAGACAACTAAGGTAAGGTCAAGGTTACATGCAAAGCTCATGATCAGTTGGAGATCTATGAAGACAATACAGGCAATGATAAGGTCACAGATGAGTTCAAGGTTACACAACAAGGAGGTCAAGGTTACACATACAGCTTAAATTAGATTAAGGTTGAATGACAGATTAGTTACATTTCAGGTGAGATCATTTTTCTCGTTGTCAAAAACGAGGAGGTCAAGGTTTATACTATAAAGAAAGAGTCATTCTTTGAAATACTGTTTATATATGGACTATATAAGCTAGGTCACCCATTCAAGGGTAAACAAATATTTATGCAGATCAAACCAAAAGATGATGAAAATTAATTTACAAAGAGATAAGGCAACTTAGATGTACACATTTCTCTGTTCTATATGAAACCTTATAGTCATTTACGTTGAATCATACAACATGTACAGCAAGCTTGTGTGTTACCACTGCAAAGTTATTATTGACGTTTTTGATAACGGTAATTTAAAATATATAACTGACAAGCCTTTTCATTTACAGATCTCAGTTTTCATTTAATTTTCTTTTGAAACTTTTATCACAGGGTCGATGTTCAACTTTATAACTGTATATAATATCAAACTGTAGATTGCCTGAAGTTATATAATATTTACAAGTCTGTACTATACCAAAGTCACAGCTTATATCACAGGATCGATGTTCAGCTTTATAACTGTATATAATATCAAACTGTAGATTGCCTGAAGTTATATAATATGTACAAGTCTGTACTATACCAAAGTCACAGCTTATATCACAGGATCGATGTTCAGCTTTATAACTGTATATAATATCAAACTGTAGATTGCCTGAAGTTATATAATATTTACAAGTCTGTACTATACCAAAGTCACAGCTTATATCACAGGATCGATGTTAAACTTTATAACTGTATATAATATTAAACTGTAGATTGACTGAAGTTATATAATATGTACAAGTCTGTACTATACCAAAGTCACAGTTTCACTGGCAAATGAAAATTAATATCCAAAGTCCGCATTTTTCATAATTTTGTCTTTATTTTTTTGGTAGACAATGGAAGCTATTGGTAATGAAAAAGCCAATGCTTTACATGAAAAGCACAGGCCTGCCTTCTATAAAAAACCTACCAGGAGTGACCCACAGTAAGTATGTCAGGGGTTTGTATAGATACAGATAGTATATTAATGCCTCACCTTCCACATTATATACAAAGATACAATAAAATATACATAAAACATAGAAGGAAAGCCACTCAAAAAGAGTTACGAGAAACTAAAAGTAATCCCTGATCGGGTGTGAAAGGTATGGGGTCACCTGCCCGACCACGTGGGTTTTCTCCGGGTACTCCGGTTTCCTCCCGCACTAAGACCCCTGTGAGCTAACATCTGGGCCAACAACAGTGATTTATATAAGTTGAAATAACTTGTTTCATAACTGTTGTAAAAATAAATAAAGTTTATATATTTTGAAAGTAATTAAAATGCATGTAAGGCACTTCACATTAAAGGGAACCTGATTTTAAAAGGCTATAAGTGAGATAGGTTAGGATATGACACAAAGTAATATTATAAAACCAACCTTCAGTATACAGAAGTCAACACTAAATTTAATTATTGTATTGATAGGGATGAAGTGTCCGTTATTCCAGTCTTACGATGAAGGGAAAGAAATAAAAAAATTTCTGTTCTAAATTAACACATGAAGCTTAAACACCAACAGGGCAAATCTTGGTACATTTACTTGTAGAATTCTGCTCAAAGAATGGATATGTGCAAAGTACAGTAGAAAAGAATTTGATGATGTTGACCGGCAGTTGGCGTACACTTCTACAACAAAGGAAGGCATTTTGATGAAGAGAGGAAAGGATGACAAGAAATACAACCGTAGAAAATTTGTCCTTTCACGGCCAGAGAATAAGATGATTTATTACCAGAAGGATACTGTTGTAAGTCTTAATCTATATATGCTGTTGTATGATAGAGACACTGAGAGAGTCCAACCTTATTCAGTGTGTAGAGTGATGCAGATATACACCTATCACATGTGTTAGTAGAAGGACAAACATTGTCCAGGTTTCATTCTTAAATACTCTCGAAATAATATCTAAGATGATTTTGATCTGTTTTTTACTGTCCTTTTGATCCACCAGACTGCAGAATTCTTCATCTGAGACATTCAGTCACTAGTCAGAACCACAGGTTTTTTGCCTTCTTTGTTGTTGCTAGACCTGATGTCATCTCTATTTATAGCTACATTAATTATTATTTATCTGTATTTTTTTTCCAGACAAGCAGGCCTAAAGCGGAAATCTGTTTAGATGATATCAATTTAGTGTTTGTACCAGGCAAAATGCAACAAGCCAATGGTTTGCAGATCACATACCTGCTGAAAGGTTCAACCAGGAACATATTCGTGTACACAGATGACTCCAAGGTAGGGATAGCATCACAGCCAGTAAAATGTTTGTGTATTCATGATACCACGGGAGGAACAGCATCTTGGTCAGCAAAATGTTTGTGTATTCATGATACCACGGGGGGAACATCATCTTGGTCAGTAACCAGCATCTTGGTCAGTAACATGTTTTTGTAGAAAGGTTACCAGACAGGAGTTATAGCATCTTTATTAGTATAATTTTGTATAATGTCAATTCCAAGGTTAAAACAAATACTTGTGTATACACCGGACATCAATATAGCCTATACAGGTAAGGCGTCTCAACCAGTAAATGTTTGTGTATCTCATGTATACAAAAAACACAACTGTCTTAATCAGGGAAAATTGGATATATTAAAAGTACATTTTCAGTATTTAAAGTCTGTTTAAGCATGCATATCATATTTACCAGATTCAAATAAAATACTATATATCAACTGATTTGTGACTTGGCAGGACATTGTCGACTGGTATCTAGCTATCCGGGCAGCCAAACTGGAACGGCGGAAGATAGCCTTCCCAGACAGGGACGAAAAAGATGTAAGGAGCATGATATAAAAAATATATTAAGATCCTGACATTACATTTATGATTATATATGGCTGTATGCTGTTGAATTTCAGTTGTTGAATTAAAAAATCTATTGTACAAAAATGAAGTGACTTATGATAAGTTGATATTTGTAATGAAGTTTGTAGGCTGTAAAGACCTTTTCATCTCTTTTCAGCAGTTCAGAATTCAAATTGAAAAGAATATATGTTTATTTGCAAACAGAAAATTCTCTCTTGATAAGTAAAAAAAAGAACAGATCACTCATTATAATTTATTTTGAAAAAGCCACCTTTATTGAGACGAACAAAAGAGATCATCTATAAACTTTTTCTTTTTTTTTCTTTTTCAGGGTTGAAATTGATGGGTATTTTATTATTCTTGAATAACATGCTTTTAACTGATATCTTCAAATTATAGAATGAAGAAATCATGTGTTTAAAATGTTCCATAAAGTAATCCTGCTGATATTGTATGTTGCAGTTAGCTGAAGATTTGACACAAGATTTTATTATGGAAGGTTATTTAAGTAAGATGGGGCCAAAAAATCAACCATTCAAAAAGCGATGGTTTTCTCTGGATAAAAGGAAGCTAATGTACTATGAAGATAAATTGGTAAGTTTGGTATCCAACCACCCTAACTAGGTGTACTGAAGTGTTGGCTGTCACATTGTACTGACAGACAACCACCCCCACTAGGGGTACTGAAGTGTTGGCTGTCACAGTGAGGTGACAGAGACAACCACCCTCACTAGTTGTACTGAAGTGTTGGCTGTCATAGTGTACTGACAGAGACAACCACCCCCACTAGGCATACTGAAGTGTTGGCTGTCAGAGTGTGCTGACAGAGACAACCACCCCCACTAGGGGTACTGAAGTGTTGGCTGTCATCGTGTACTGACAGAGACAACCACCCCCACTAGGCATACTGAAGTGTTGGCTGTCACAGTGTGCTGACAGAGACAACCACCCTCACTAGTTGTACTGAAGTGTTGGCTGTCATAGTGTACTGACAGAGACAACCACCCCCACTAGGTATACTGAAGTGTTGGCTGTCAGAGTGTGCTGACAGAGACAACCACCCCCAGTAGGTATACTGAAGTGTTGGCTGTCACAGTGTGCTGACAGAGACAACCACCCTCACTAGGTGTACTGACGTGTTGGCTGTCACAGTGTGCTGACAGAGACAACCACCCTCACTAAGTGTACTGAAGTGTTGGCTGTCACAGTGTGCTGACAGAGACAACCACCCCCACTAGGTATACTGAAGTGTTGGCTGTCACAGCGGGCTGACAGAGACAACCAACCCCACTAGGTTTACTGAAATGTTGGCTGTCACAGTGTGCTGACAGAGACAAGCACCCTCAGTAGGGGTACTGACATGTTGGTTGTCACAGCGGGCTGACAGAGACAACCAACCCCACTAGGTTTACTGAAATGTTGGCTGTCACAGCGGGCTGACAGAGACAAGCACCCTCAGTAGGGGTACTGACATGTTGGTTGTCACAGTGTGCTGACAGAGACAACCACCCCCACTAGGGGTACTGAAGTGTTGGTTGTCACAGTGTGCTGACAGAGACAACCACCCTCAGTAGATGAACTGAAGTGTTGGCTGTCACAGTGTGCTGACAGAGACAACCACCCCCACTAGGTTTACTGAAGTGTTGGCTGTCACCGTGTGCTGACAGGGACAACCGCCCCCACTACGTGTACTGAAGTGTTGACAGTATGCTTACAAAGCGTTCCTATCAAACAAAGTGTATTTATACACTTATACACTTTTAATAAGATATCAGTTAAAAGTAAAATGTTTTCCCCAGTCTTGCAATTCCAATTTTTTACACTTAGGAAGTGTATTACTTAAGCATACATGGGGTCAGTAGTTTTAGAAATATTTTTTTTTATATGCAGCAAATTGGCTTAATTTCTGAACAAATCCAACCAAATTGATTATCTTACATGTTTTTCAGGACAAAAACATGGTATTATAAGGCTCTTTCATGCGAAGGGGTGTAGGATAGGGTCATTCCACCCGAGGGGTTTTCAAAGCCTCAGGTTTTGCCAAATTTGAAAATCCAAATGATGGAATGTCCCTTTTCTATACCCTTGGGCATGAAAGAGTATTTTTCTCTCATTCCAACCACCAGAATATGCCCAGAAAATGCAATTGGACTGGCCACCATTTTGAAAATATCAATTTTTCCCCTGGGCTTTTTAGACGAAATCGAATCAGCCAGCCAGATTAAACATATCCCATATTTGCAAACAATGTTAATCACATCTTTCTAACGTGTACGGTAAATATATAGTAAAAGGTTTAATTTCATCATGTCGCCTTTTCCGCATTGCGGCATCGGAGAGTTCCAAATTTGTGACGTTACGTCATTTTTGAGCCATTGTGATGTCACGTTGCGTGAAATGGGGTGTAAGATAGAAATTTCCTACACCCCTTTCTTACACTGGACAGCTCTATCTTGCGCACAGGGAAATGAGAGAAAAAGATTTACTGTACACAATATTTTAAAGGTAAAAATGTTAAACTTTACAATATAAAACATTCTTGACCAACTTTTTTTAATTTTTAATCAAACAATTGTCATTGCTTCTCTATCAGCTCAAACTGTATAAACAAGATAAACCTGTACAATTGTATTTGGTAGATAAAGAGTTAATACATTGATGAGTTAGTTGTATCAGAAAAGTAATTAAAATTCTATACAAATACAGCCAGCTGTATATTAGCTTTGTGTGTTGCAGAATCCATTCCCAAAGGGTGAGCGGTTTATAGGTCACCGGGATGGAGAGTTCTCTGTAAGTATGAGAGCAGCAGAGGCAAGGCCTACCCAAGGTTACGCGTTCACACTACATATGCCAGGCCGTGACTTTATACTGTCTGCAGAAACCAGAGAGGACATGGATCAGTGGATATGTGCCCTACAGAAAGTCATAGAAACCCCTTTAACACCACAAGATACTAAAAGTAAGTAGTCATAAAAAACCCTCTAAACCACAAGATACTTAATGTATATAGTCATAGAAATCCTTCTCAAACCACAGGATACTGAAGGTAGTCATAGAAACCCTCTAACACCACAAAGTTCTAGAGGTAACCCTAGAAATCCCTCTCACAACACCAGGTTCTACAGGTAAGTAGTCACAGAAACCCTCTCACACCACAAGGTTCTAGAGGTAGTCATAGAAACCCTCTAACACCACAAGGTTCTAGAGGTATTCATAGAAACCCTCTAACACCACAAGGTTCTAGAGGTATTCATAGAAACCCTCTAACACCACAAGGTTCTAGAGGTATTCATAGAAACCCTCTAACACCACAACGTTCTAGAGGTAGTCATAGAAACCCTCTAACACCACAACGTTCTAGAGGTAGTCATAGAAACCCTCTAACACCACAAGGTTCTAGAGGTATTCATAGAAACCCTCTAACACCACAACGTTCTAGAGGTAGTCATAGAAACCCTCTAACACCACAAGGTTCTAGAGGTATTCATAGAAACCCTCTAACACCACAAGGTTCTAGAGGTATTCATAGAAACCCTCTAACACCACAAAGTTCTAGAGGAAACTCTAGAAATCCCTCTCACAACACCAGGTTCTACACGTAAGTAGTCACAGAAACCCTCTCACACCAAAAGTTACTAGAGGTAGTCATAAAAACCCTCGCACCCCACAAGGTTCTAGAGGTAGTCATAGAAACCCTCTAACACCACAAGGTTCTAGAGGTATTCATAGAAACCCTCTAACACCACAAGGTTCTAGAGGTATTCATAGAAACCCTCTAACACCACAACGTTCTAGAGGTAGTCATAGAAACCCTCTAACACCACAAGGTTCTAGAGGTATTCATAGAAACCCTCTAACACCACAAGGTTCTAGAGGTATTCATAGAAACCCTCTAACACCACAAGGTTCTAGAGGTATTCATAGAAACCCTCTAACACCACAACGTTCTAGAGGTAGTCATAGAAACCCCTCTCACACCACAAGTTACTAGAGGTAGTCATAGAAATCCCTCTCACACCACAAGTTACTAGAGGTAGACAAAGAAACCCCTCTCATGCCATAGGATACTAAAGGTAATAAGTCATAAAAAACCATTTCACAATCCAACCTCTTTCTTTCAAGTCCCTTACCATTTATTTGGCTCTACCTATCTGTGATGTCAGGGCTTTTGTGAAAAGAGGCAGTTGCTAATTTCTTCAATATACGTATGAGAACATTGTACTTAGTACTTGACAACATTGTGCACTTTTTTGAATTAGTCAATACTTTATTAACCAAGTCACACATTCTATCATATACAGGGGTCTTGGTTCAGAAATATTTTAGAAATGAGATATGTTTTACAGTAAGGGAACATACACCCTAAAGTCTCCATTTAACAGTAAGACATCATATACCCTTAAATCTCCATGTCATGATAAGGTAGCATATACCCTTAAATCTCCATGTCATGATAAGGTAGCATATACCCTTAAGTCTCAATGTCATAATAAGGTAGCATGTACCCTTCAATGTGTATCCCATCCTGTTTTTACAGTTGCCTCACAGTTGGTACCAAAAAGACATGAACCCTTCATTAGTATGAAGAAGTAACCTAACAAGTGGCATTTAGACATAAAAGTGAAGACATCTCCATAGCTAGGAAAGTGGCAGGAAATGTCCCTCCGGACTCCTTACAGCTGAAACAGGACATTTGCAATACAGGGATATTGTGTCATACAGACTCTTCACAGCCACAACAGGACAGTGGCAATACAGAGGATGCTGTGTATTACCGACTCTTCACAGCCACAACAGGACAGTGGCAAAACAGGGGATGCTGTGTAATACAGACTCTTCACTGCCACAACAGGACAGTGGCAAAACAGGGGATGCTGTGTCATACAGACTCTTCACTGCCACAATAGGACAGTGGCAAAACAGGGGATGCTGTGTCGTACAGACTCTTCACTGCCACAACAGAACAGTGGCAAAACAGGGGAGTCTGTGTCATATAGACTCTTCACTGCCACAACAGGACAGTGGCAAAATAGGGGAGTCTGTGTCATACAGACTCTTCACAGCCACACCAGGACAGTGGCATTACAGAGGAGTCTGTGTCATACAGACTCTTCACAGCCACACCAGGACAGTGGCATTACAGAGGATGCTGTGTCATACAGACGTTTAACAGCCACACCAGGACAGGGGCATTACAGAGGATGCTGTGTCATACAGACTCTTCACAGCCACACCAGGACAGTGGCAATACAGGAGATTCTGTGTCATACAGACTTTTCACAGCCACAACAGGACAGTGGCAATAAAGAAAGTGCTATGCCACAGTGGTTGTATCCAGGGTGGCCACATATTTATATAGTGGTGGCACTACATGTACACAGTAATAACCAAGAGTGGCCACCAAAACATGTGATCTTTACATTACAGTGATATGTACTTTGCAATGCAAGTAATAACTCATTTGGAGGCCTATGCTGATTTTAGATTTAGCAACACACTGCGTATATCTCCTGTGTACTATTAGAAATGCTGCATTTTCTCCTTGATATTATAATACAAGTACTAGTGGCAGAAGTAGTTTGTGGCTACAGATGAAAGAGCAAAGATTAGCTATAATCTGGACTAAAGATTTCATAATTTATTGAATTTATTGATAATTTAATTAATATTTCATAAAGCAGGGAAGTTTTAAAGTAGTGTATTCATTCACAGGTTATCTTGAGGTGAAAATCAGAATAGAATGCAATGCAAATACTGTTACAGGGTCAGGGAAACTTGATTTTTAATGTGGATTGGTAAGATATGCTACACATTCTACTGCTGGCACATAGAATTATATTATTACGGTATTTCAGTGTATTTAAGAAATGATATTTCTTCTATGTTATGATATAGCTTATTCATATACAGAGAACATTTTCTGGTTTTTTTTTGCAAATACACATGTAGTTATAAAATTCATATTTTGAATAATAAAAGAATTCTAAATAATTTGAATGACTTTTAATACCCTAAGTTTGTGTTTCATGACTATTTCCCCTTTGAAAAGCTGCATGTACCTCTTGCACAGATTGCTTTTATTATCATTTAAGTGTGACTTTTCTATAAATATAATGGAATGTGATTGGGACCAAAATATTTGGCTGGTTTATACAGGGTTCAGTTTATACAGATAGTGACATGTAGACTAATTATGAAGTACAATGAAATGGCATGTGTGTATTAAGCCTTTTATTGAAAGGTATTTGACAAGGGTGGTCTTATTACCAGGCATGGGCTTATTACCGGATAAGAACAAAAAGTTCTGGGAGAACATTTTTTTTTAAGTTCTTGGAGAACATTTTTTTTTTAATATTAAACTTAATGGGGAAAATTGTTTCAGCTAATGTGACACAATTTTGTGACTTATGGGAAATGTTTTTAAACACCATTCTCAATATTAAAGTGGCCAGTAAACAAATAATTTTGATTTTCATGACAATGCTTTATTTTTTTCAATCATTTATTTTGTTGAAGTATAACATTCCAGTACCTGTCATTCCTAACTGCACTTTAACAAAAGCTTTTATTTCTTTTATAATTTAGATATCAAATTCCCCAATTCATATTTTTATCATTCTTATGTAGGAATTGTCCTTATTACTGCAGTGCTATTGGAATACACTGTTCAAAAAAGTGTGAGTCTAAGTATTGTAGTGGTAAATTCAAATAAGTATACTTAGTATAAAAAACTAGAATATTTTGTCTTATATGACACCATTTTAACCAGTCACAGTTGCACAAATATGACTATTATTATTGGAGGGGAGTGTTACACGTTTCCTAAGATGTTCTATGGAGATGGATTTCCATTGTTGTTACAACTATAACTTCCTAAAGAAAACAATACTCAAGTATTTCTGTATCAACAGGTACTGTTTGTCTTCAGCAATTGACAATTTATGTGACATTTTGTAGCTGACCTCATTGTTTTCTGTTTTGTTTTTGTTTTTTACTTTGAACAAATTCAGTATTTGATTTGGTGTGCGTAAATATTGTCATATCATTCTTCATATTCTGCACACAATTGATAGACTGAGCTTGTAAGATGGGCAATATATCATATGTTAATAGTTTGTGATGCTTTTTTGACCAAGCATGGCTGCAGCAATTTACTAAAGTTGTAATAAATATATCTCTATATAAAATGTATGCACTATGGTTTGATGCTAAATGAGTGTGTGCTTCAAACTGTATGAAGTTATAATGTTGATATTAAATTTTACGTTGCTATCATTGTGTTATAAAAGGACACATGGTAAAGATTGTGATACTGTAGGTTCATCTAATTATCAAAGAGTTGTATTGTTTTGAGATGTTTGTGGGTGTGTGGGTGTGTCCCTACAGATGTAGCCGAGGAGAAGACCCATGTCCTCTTCCTGTTTGAAGGCTCGCTCCAGGGGAATCGTATATTTTAGTGTATCGTCATGTGTCATGATTTTCAAGAAATAAGAAACTGTGATTTAAACAGATTATGAATACGAAAATATTTCTCTACTTATGACTATCTTTTTCTACATTGTTACTGTTGTTGCATCATTTACTTATTTTTATTACAATGTGTAGTTATAGGGATTCTTTTTCAAATAGGATTTTTAGCTCACCTGCCCGAAGGGCAAGTGAGCTTATGCCATACCGCAGCGTCCCGCATCAACTTTTCCCTTTAAAAGTCTTTATCTCCTGAACGACTGATTGGATTTTAACTAAATTTGATATGAAGCGTCCTTGGGACCAGGGGCTCAATAGATTTATGAAATAAGGGTGTGGCCTCCTAGGAGGCAGAGTTATGGGCCAAAAATGGGAAAATTTAGAAAAGGTTAAAAAATCTTCTTCTCCATATCCAGAAATGCTAAAACCAAATACTACTCATAGTTGTAAAGGCCTTTGGGTGGTTTATAAAAATTGTGATTTTCATGTCTCCTAGCCCGCCTGTTTGTTCCTGGGGAGGGGGTGCAGGTTAGTATAGTTTATATAGGAAATAAACATAATAGGCTATATCTACCATTGTTTTGAACAGAAGTTGTTCATATTTGACAGAAATACTTGTTAGGGGGAGGGGGTCTGCAGGTAAACAAATTATGAGCCTGACCCCCTAGGGGGCTGAGTTAGGGGCCGATAATTGGGGAATTCAGGGAAATTTCAAAAATCTTCTTCTCCAGTTATAGAAAAGCTAGAATCAAATACTACTCATAGTTGTAAAGGCCTTTGGGTGGTTTATAAAAATTGTGATTTTCATGTCTCCTAGCCCGCCTTATTGTAAGTGAGATAAAACAAATTAGAATTGTGAAAAAATGATGGACTGTTTTGTTCACAATCTCAAAAAATTGTCCTTATGAAATGGGATAGAATATAAGTAGTGAGGAAAATGACAAAATAGTTGTTATCACAAATTCTATAAATGAAACCTATCTACAAAAATCTTGCACATGGACAGCCTCAGATTCTGTAAAGTGTTTGTTGTGGGTGTGTGACACTGTTCACAGTAAAAATGAAGTTATAGAGTTATGATATTGAATTGACATGTATGTAGGTATTCAAGATATTGATTAAATGTACTTTTGTTTTTACATATTTACAAATTGTCACAAAACAATGTTTGAATTTCAATAACCAGTTTACTGTAGACATGATAGCAAGATTTTTTTATCAAAAGTTAGCATTTCAGATTTAAAATCTGCTTAAGATCTTAATTATATATGATTCATTTTCTTGTTGATGATGCTTGTTATTACCTAAAATACACCAAAACAAATACCCGGAAAAATATACATGTTCTCTGAAATACAATTTAAACTCTATTGTTATGAAATCACAGATGATAGGCTTCACATCATTTATTCAGTCAACAGTTTCGTGTACATGAACTGCTGTTTGTATCGATGTTCATGGCTGACATGCTTCATTGTTGTCAGCGATGCATTTTAAAGTTGTGTGATTTTTGTGATACATGTAAATATTTCTCCCATCCTCTACAGATTTGTCTCCCCTTTATTTTAACGTCTACTGATCATGATTTCTCTGTCAAATCCTTACAAATATTGATTAAGAAGACCAACACAACTGTTCTGAAATAATGTTTATAAATTAATATTGCTTTTATTGGAGGACTATTTTAAATTGTGTATTGATATAATTACGTAAACAGAGTTAGGGAGTGATATTTATACACCACCACTCATGTGGCAGGCATAGGGACTCTAAAATGGGTATGAGGATGGGAGAAAAAATATAATTCCAATGTTGAGTGTATGACAAAAATGTGTCAAACCTTGGGGTATCATTATACATGTATTCCTAAAATGCTGGGCAAGAGTTAGGATTGGACCTTTAGTAACTCCATGATTTGAGATCTCTTTTTCATACCGTAACAGTAGGGAAATATGCCAGTGATGATGAGCACTGCGGTTGTGACAATGTTTACACATGTATACCATTAATGTTTGTATGTAAGGTTGTGAGTAAGTGATGGAGTGAATGTCAACATGCAATAGATAGGTTGGTTTGGGGAACAAATTGGTGATAAACAGCGAAACCTCACTAATCTGGGCTACAAGTTTCTGAAAAATTCACCTCCTGCACACTAGTATTTTGGACACTTTTGGTAAGTGAATTATCTGGTGCCATTTAGTCAGAAAATAGTTTTCTGGAATCTAGTGTCTATGCTAATGAGGTTTCACTGTACTTATATGTATATTGAATTTTTATTTTATTTTTTATTGCATTGAACAAATTCTGATGACCATGAAAATGAAGACGGCACAAAACCTAATGAACTTAACATGTTTTAATAAGCATTGACACAATGGAGGCAGATTTGTTGTTACTGGCCTTTTTTTTTTAAATCACTATCTGCCTCCACACAAATGAAACATTTTCTAAAATGTTATCTACCCATCAATTTTCTCCAGAGTTCAAAGTTTTGATCACTTATGTTAAACATTTGTTGTTTTATTTTAGGTTGAGTTTACTGAGACAAATAGGACTATTTTTTGAAGTATGATAAAGTTGTTTTTCTTTTTTAAGAATACATTACAAAAAAAGAGTTACTCTGTTGTAAAATACATCTATTTTTTTGCTGACTCTAGGAATGTTGTCCTTACTGTTGAACAGCTAATGCTGTATTAAGAAATCAAATGTTTTAAAGAGTAACTTTTAGTTGTACAGTTATTAATTAGTGAATAATAAAGTATATCTTTAGAGTACTGTAAACCATGTCCCAGCAATTCACTATTTCTCTGTTATACACTGTTTCTATATTAAACACCGCAGAAACATTGCTTATCTTCAACATTAATACACAGTTCCTCTACTTAACACTGTGATACACTGTTCCTCAATACACTAATACATTGTTCCTATATACAATGTTATACACTTATCTACTATATGCCAATAATACTGATCTACTATACACTAATACATTGTTCCTATATACAATGTTAAACACTAATCTACTATATGCCAATAATACTGATCTACTATACACTAATACATTGTTCCTATATACAATGTTAAACACTAATCTACTATATGCCAATAATACTGATCTACCATGCCTATACACTGATCCCCTGCTACCCACTGAAATACACTGTTCTAGCCAAAGATCGTTGTATACATTACTCTTTCTACACTATACATTATTTTCTATGACATCCACTGAAATACACTGGTCCTCTACCAAGCACTTATACACTGTTCAAGTACTTTACACTGTTTAACACAGGTCCTCTGCTGTAAACTAATACACTGTCCCCTTTATATACACTGTAATACATTGTCCCTTACAATACATTACATTGCCCCCCCCCCCCTACAAATTGTAAGACATTGCCCCCTACTATACAATAAATTACATACACTGTAATCTTCCTTTTCTATGCAATGTAATACACTAATCTTTTACTGTACATCTTTCTTTGATTGTGCATTTGATTCTTTCCCTATGCACACAATGTAATACATTTTTGAAACAGAATTATTTGAGACAGGAGCACAGACCTACAGATCTGATAATGTTTTGAAAGCTTTGACAAAGGCATTCATTCAAGATCTGCATTAATATGTTCAGGTCTTTAGGCTTTAAATCTAAAACATATTCCATTGAAGTACGAAAACCTTTCGTGATTTCAGAAATCTCAGTTTAAGAGAGAAAGTAAATGTCCCTCAATTAGCTCTCAGCCTGGAATGTCAAATATATTACAATATATAGTTCATATTTATCCTGTTGTTAAATATTCAGATACAATTATTATATTATGAATAAGTCATATTCCTCAAATATAGGATCCAATGTATTTCATTACAATTCAGTTTTTATTCCTTGATACAGTGTTTATATACACTGGGTTTTTTCTTCAAACTTTGGATATAAAACAGTATAGTGTATATGTTATTGCTTGTTGTAAAATGTTGATACCCAAAATTTATAAACACATATAGTTTTATTTACTTTAGATAAAAGAAAATGGGAGACTGTTTGCTTATCTCCCCTTTAAAGCGAAATAAATGTGCTAGCCACATGTTGGCATGATTATACAACTTAACCGTGGTGTTGCTAATGTTGTGCTTTTAACACTATCAGTGTTAATACACTGCATCAGTTTGAATGTGAAATTTCATTGAAATACTTAGCCTTAGTTAAAAATAAACTCTGGGATTTTCAACATCTTTTTTCAAGATTTCTTCATATAAACATCAATCAAATTATATTTAGATGCATTCATCTTGATATCAATATACACACTGCTTTCTTCCATTTACACCGGTAGGTCTTATCAGGGATATCAACAGTATGCTTAAATATTGGTAATGGATCTGAACTGTTTTGATCAATAAATCAGCGGAGTGGTGATAGTGCCACGATGGACAACATCATTGAATTTTCGAGGCAATTTACCCCTTTGTCACGGGCAATTGTTCAGCAATGTTTGTTTATTGACAAAGGGAAAGATTACCAAAACCTGATGTATTGTCTGTAGTGTAGCTATAACTCCTTGCTTCTGTATACGGTAAAACCTTGTTATAAAAAGTTTGGCTATATAGCGAGAAAGGAACTTTTTTTTTTTTTTTAAAGAAAAACAGGAAATGGGACCAAAAATATATTGGTAGTTAGCAAGATGGCAGATGGAATAAGGGTTTTATATATTGAAGGTTTTTTTACTGAAGATAATAAAACAGATATTATTGTTGAGTGGAAGATGCACCAAAGACAAAACTACAGCAAAATAAATGCAGTAGATTCCTCTGTAATGTTAGAGTTTTATACTACAGTTTGTGAACATTTGAATTCATTTACATTGCTGAGAGAATCTTATTACTGTATGTGGTATGCAAACTTGATGTCAATCTAAACTTGTTTTTAAAATTATATAGCTGCTTGTATTTGTTGACCAAATGCAATAAAAAGTGATGAAAGTGTTATAATAATTGTTCTTGTTCCCTGAAATAAGAAACATGACATCATCAGGAACTTAGCTTACACTAAAAACAAGAACACAGCCTCATCAGGGACTATGTTTATCCCTAAAACAAGAAACATTGCTTCATGAGAGGGATTAGCATATCCCTAAAACAAGAAACATGACATCAGAAGGAATTTAGCTTACCCTTAAAGAAGAAATAGGGATTTAGTTCATCCCTAAAACAAGAAAAATGACATCAGCACAAATTTAGCTTACCCTTAAAACGAAAAACAGGGATTCAGTTTACCCCTAAAACAAGAAACATTTAAACTAGTAGGGATTTGGCTTAATACTACTAAAACAAGAAACAGGGATTTAGTTTATCCCTAAAACAAGAAATATGACATCAGTAGGGATTTAGTTTATCCCTCCTAAAACAAGAAACAGGGATTTAGTTTATCCCTAAAACAAGAAACATGGATTTAGTTTATCTCTAAAACAAGAAACAGGGATTTAGTTTTCCTCTAAAACCATTACTGTAAGAAACATGACATCAACAACTAAGCTTACCCCTAAAACAAGAAGCATGACGTCATCACGGTCTTAACATTCATGACATCATCAGGGACTTCATTATGATATCTACTGGATATAGCACACACGACAAATCTTCAGTTGTGAAAAGTTTTATTTGACCAGCAAATCAATGTGGGTTTACAACTTTACATAAACCATGAAAAACAATACACCAGTAAAGAATACCAGTATACGTAGTATGTAAATGTATTTCCAACAAGAAGCAAAAAAAAAAAAAAGGATTTATATACATACCAGTAGTTAAATATGAAATAACATTGTAAAAGTTCGGAAAGATTTTTTTAAATATCAAATGTACTATCTGCGTAAAGTAGACAAGCCCTATTGTCGTATCAAAATTGCACAAAAACAGTTATTGTGAATAAAACAATTTTACCCAATACAAATATTGTACACCAAATTATAAACCTAATACGTTCAATAAATTAACACCAGTTTGAGAAGATGTATGTTTTTATCCTACAATGTGATAAAACTGTAAATGTTATATTATCAATCGGTCACTGATAGGACAATTTGCTTACTTATAGATCATGATACACATACTGCCAAATGGGTTACACAAACACACAATCACAAAATGCTAACTTGGTCCATGGTTACACCTTTATACACCTTAATGATTTTGAAACAATTTTACGTTACAAATGTATAAGATAAAAAGTACAATCTACATATATTTTTTAACACCAGCATTGTTGTATAAATAAAAGCTGTTATATATCATACACTCAATGTCCACAGAAATATAAACCTGAGTGAATTTATTTAATTTGCACATGGCAGATTGTCATCTGATCTAGCTGCCTGTTGTTATGGATAGTACAATGCCGCTGAATCTACTCAGGAATATCCCAGTTTCAAGCTTCAAAACAGGTATCTCAAATTTTTCATTCTGACATGAGAACTTCTTGTCATTGATCTGTCATATACTGAACTTTTATTTCCCCGTTTGGGAACCCTGAACTGGTACTAATATCACATAGTCGTTAAAAAAAAATATTTTAAGTAAGAAAACTATGTATAAAAGGTGAAACAAATTTGCCTCCATTTAATGTGAATTTAATATCTCCATTGACTTTCTATTGATAACTCAATGAAGGACTTGAGAAAAAAAATCTATTAATTATATAAAACATTTATTATGCATCAGGTGTTGAATAAATTATCTTTTGATTAGAATGATTTATTGCAAAAATCCCCATTGTCTAATGTTGAATGGAGTATTTGAAGATACATGTTTTCTTCCCTATGAGTATGGTAAAAATTGCTAATAGTTAGTGAAATGTTACCCTGTAGTAGCAAAACAATCTCCCTACTTATAATACACACAAATCTCCCTATATAATATACTGTATATACAGTGTGTTCATCAGATGTATATGAGACAGGTGTCGCAGTATTGCTGGTTAAGTTACAGTATGAACACAGACTACTGTTTTAACTCTACACTGGGGCATGATGACAGTGGGAGGGCAAACCCAAGTTTTAGGACGGGCTGTATTACAACAGATAGAGATGCTGGTTGAGTTACGTCCCCTTGATCGGTTGTACTTGACTGACCGTTGCCTATCACAAAAGTGGAACAATTGGAATGTCCAAAATGCTTCACACCATTCTGTGTGTAGTGCACATTGAAGTACTTTACTGCTGACATTTTGGAACACTTCCATGTCAGTGTCTTGGTCCCATCATCTTTGTCTTTTTTCAAAACACTCACTTCGCTGACCGCAACTTCAGTATCCAAACAGGACTCGGGGATAATCTACAAATGGAGAAAAACATCATTTTAGTACAAACTATTTACCAGGTCCTCTTTATTCCTGTCCAACGGTATGCAAAAAATCATGTCATTCCACTGGAGTTATTTTACACACAGTAATTAACCTCCCCTCAATTTTGTTTTTGGATAAAGTTGTAGCAAGACTGAGCCAGGTTACTAACAAGGTAGTTATAGCTAGTTAGAGTGATCACTTCACGTTCAGATGCCCAGGTTTTTAATGCCAGTATAGCCCCTATGTATTTTACCAGATCCTCTAAGACTGTTTCATAGAAGAACTTAATACCAGCTATATACCAGGTATCTTAGTACTGTACATGTACAAAATTCATCATCTATCAAGTTGTTAGTATACCTGAATCTGGCCAAGGCGTACAGTCACGGCTTCTGTCTGTTGGCCAGGTGCTGATGGATGAAATAGACCTACACTGACAGAGGTCAGGGTGAACTCTCCAGTTTGGCTGGGGTCAACCCTGTAATACCTGGTCATAGTGGAAAACAAGACACCAGTTAAAACACAAAATAATCATGTACAATGTATTATATTATTTAGCCAAAAATGTTTAATACTGACGAGCCTTTCAAGTTTTAATTTATTCTGATATATGATTTAAAGGACAGCCATGTGAGGGTGTTAGATCTCAACTATTGAGATAAGATTTGTAATGTATAACACTCAGAAAAGCCTAAAAATTTTACCCTTGGGCTAAGATTTCTCTATGTACATCACACACGAGTGAAAGATTCTATTACTCCTACATAAAGGAGCACTAATTGTAATGTCACCGTGAAGACATTATTATGATGACCCAGCATGCCATACAATCAGCTGATATCATGTTTTAGCATGGCTGCTGCTGTTGTAAATCAGTATTCATAAACACAATATGTATTACTGGTAAGACTTTTGCATCGCGTATATACTTCAATTAAATACAACTTCAGAAGAATTTCTTCTATAAGAAACATTTGAAAGAGTACATGTACTCATAATGCATCCTCGATACTCCAGCGGTTACGCTCACTTTCGCTCTCTGCACCCCTGGAATATGTTATAGCAAAATCAAAGGCACACGGCTAGCTATTTGATTGGTCTCGGGTTATAAAAACCTGACCTTTGAAGATTACAGAGGAGCGACACCCGACTTCTATGCCAGTAAATTTTACTGTTAAAGCGAGCGTAACCCCTGGAGTAATGAGGATGTCAAAATGGAGCTAATTTAATTATAAAGCAACAGTCATTCCTGATAATGTACCTTGTTGTCCATTGGTCATTTCCATTATTGCCCAATGCCTGTTTAAGTGAGGGGTACTTGGTCACGAAGGACACAGCTGGTGTTGGGTTAAATACAGTAGCCAAACTGTCAGATTCTGATTTCTTGTCGGAATTGTCTCCCTTGAAGTAAAATTTCTTGGTCTTATTGCCACAAGATACCTCACACTGTAAGAAGATGTCCAGTCCAGCTTGGTCACACTTGAAGGAGTAGGATATAACCACTGGTTCTTTTATCTCGAATTCCATACAGAACAACCTGTAAAACATAATAATATAAATCTCAAACTAGAATCGTGAAATGCTACAAACATACGGTTTCAAGACCACAGTAACAGTGATATTCTTTCATACACAACACTCTATATGAAAGTACCACACCAAATATCACAACTCAAGGTGACATTATATATACAAATGTACAGATATAAGTTCCAGACAATTCCAGTTTCAATGACTGGGGTGAAATAGTACCAAAAAATATGCATGGGACAAACTTCTGGGCAGAGTGCAGACTCCGTCCCTTCGTAGAGTATCTAAATGACCGGCATAATTAATGATAACTCATCCTCCATTCAGAATAAACCATGCTATGGAAATTCAAGATCATAATACCAAGTCTCCAATTTGCAATTTTCAGGAGTCACAGGACTTACTTGATGTGTGTGGTCTGGTGACTCGCTAGATATGTGTAATCTGGTTGCTCACTAGATGTGTATGGTTTGATGACTCACTAGATCTGTATAGTTGTTTAGTGACTCACTAGATATATATGGTCTGGTGTCTCACTAGATGTGTGGTATGGTGGCTCACTAGATGTGTGTGGTCTGGTGAGTAATTAGATGTATGTGGTCTGGTGAGTTAGTAGAAGTGTGGTCTGGTGACTCATTATATGTGTGTGGTCTGGTGACTCACTAGATGTTTATGGTCTGGTAAGTAACTAGAAGTGTGGTCTGGTTACTATGGTCTGGTGATTCACTAGATGTGTGTTGTCTGGTGACTCACTAGATGTGTGTGGTCTGGTGACACACTAGATGTGTAAAGTTGTTTAGTGGTTTACTAGATATATGTGGTCTGGTGGCTCCCTAGATGTGTGTGGTCTGGTGTTTCGCTAGATGTGTGTGGTCTGGTGACTCACTTGATGTGTGTAGTCTGGTGACTCACTAGATGAATATTGTTGTTCATTGACTCACTAGATATATGAGGTCTAGTTACTCACTAGATGTGTGTGGTCTGGTGACACACTAGATGTGTGTGGTCTCGTGACTCGCTTTATATATGTGTAGTCCGGTGACAAAAGTTGTTTGGTGACTCACTAGATATGTGAGGTCTAGTGACTCATTAAAATTGTAGAAACTAGGAGTGTGTCATCAGGTGACTCACAAGATGTGTATGATTGTTTGGTGTCTCACTGGATGTGTGTGGTCTGGTGACTCACTAAATGTGTGTGGTCTGATGAGTAACTAGAAATATGTTGTCTGGTAGCTCAAAAGATGTGTGAGGTCTAGTGACTCACTAGATATATGTGGTCTGGTGATTCACTAGATGTGTGTGGAGAGGTGACTCACTAGATGTGTGTGGTCTGGCCTGTTGAATCACCTGGTGAGTTTATCTTACCACACTGATCAGGTGAATGAGTTATGTCTGGCCTGTTGACTTGATCTAACTAGACTGATCAGATGAATGAGTTATGTCCTTACCTGTAGATGACAGGAGATCCATCACTGGGTACAGGGTTGGCACTGAGCTTGAGACAGCTGCCCCCTAGTAAAGCCATCTCTGTATCCAGGGCCATGCTGGAGGTGGATGGAGTCTTCCCCTCAAACTGAGCATTGGTTAGTGAGGGTTGGAGCTCCTGGAGACCTAGGTTATGCCAGGAAGTAGCATCTACCTCCTGGTGGACACCAGACAAAGTATAAGTATGAGAGGATGACCAAGGAATCGTTTAAGGCTAATGGTGGCTCTTTCTCTATTTGTATAACCTTTATCATTTTTTCACGTCTTTAAAATAAATGTCAATGAATGATGTTTCTTCCTTAATGAAAAGAGTTTCTTTAAAATATATTGACTATAATCTTAATCTGATAAATATGTAGAGATAAGCTACAAGTGAGCAATAACATCATAGAATAGAATATTTTAATAAGCTATCTGTAAACTTCAAATAAGTTTTACCTAAAACAAAAACACAGGTATTCCATTTTGCTTCAGACTAACCATTATATTCTGGTTATATAGTCATGTTCACAACATATTACTTTAAAAAAATGGTACCTTTCATTGCAAAATATTTATATGACTATAATTGTACCAATAGATATTTGAACTAAACAATTAGATGTAGTACATATTAGATATATTATGTCTTACCAATCCCTGAGAGTAGTACTTTTGGCCGAAGCCTTGACAGAAGGAGGTGGAGAAGGGGAGATAACTGGAGGCCAGGACCCTCACTGGCAGAAGGTGATGCAGTAGTCGCCAGAACCTGTACAAATATTATATAATACTTTACTATATATAATAATACCTGTAACAGTTATTCACATTATAATTCCCAGATATGTAACAATGATAATGACCCTAAGATATTACCAACCATAAACAGTAATAAGCATTTTTTTTTTATAACTTTTGAAAGAAAAGACTAAAATAAGATAAATAAGATAATATTCATAAATATCAGAATGATTTATTTGTTATAGATTCTTCATAAACAAAACATTATACCTGTTTTCATTCTGTAGGAAGTTTGCCTCGCCCTGAGTTTCATATACCCATCCCATGGCAAAGATGGCAGCAGACATGTTATGTTGCCTTATTGCAGTCAATGCCTGAAACCATAAAATATAACAATACTCTACATGACACTTGACAAAATAAGTCTGATTTTCCCTTTTATTGCAGTAATAATTATTCAAATTTCATGGTAACTATTTCAAGAAAGTAAATACTGAGTAGAATTATCATGAGTGAATCATCTGAACACAAATACCAGAGAATCAATCAACCTCAGGTACCAGAGAATCAATCAACCTCAGGTACCAGAGAATCAATCAACCTCAGGTACCAGAGAATCGAAGTGAGTCACAAGAAAAACAGTCAGACAGACACAAGGTCTTTAACATTGTCTCTAGCGTCACTGTAAATTTGGTTTTAGATAAACAAGATCAGGGGAAAAAAGGGTTGAATACCTCAACTGTGTTGAATCCTCCACCTCCGAGACAGCCGCGCCCAAACACATCCACTCCCACGTACACATCCATGGCTCGCCCACGAGAACTTGCCAGTTCCTTGGAGCGTCTCAGACTCGCATCTTTCCAGTTGTAATTCAAGAAAATCCCATCACATACATCAAAAAACATGCTGAAAGCATAAAAGATTGCATTAACATTTTTCTCTAATAAATCAGCTTGTTCTTTTGATTTAAAACTATGAAGTTATGATGTTTTTGTCTTAAACTGAATTTCAATACAAAAAATAACAACAACAGTGGCCAACATAATGGGAAACTCTTTAAATGTTCAATATTTCTTGCTTACTGTCTTATACCAGTATAGGAAGAACATTAGGTATTGCCAATAGTATGTGCTGCTATGTTATCAGGAATTAACACAGAAACATAAAGCCATATATAATTAGTCCTGAAGTAAAACAAACCTGTTTTTCTCGTTAACCTCGTCCTGCCACTTCAGCCCACCTGTTTTTATCACACTATCATACCAAATCACCTGTGACCCAGGAACCACATCATGGAGGCGCTTTGTGAGGTAAGCTACAAAGTCGCACAGTAGCTGCACTTTTCCTGCCTTTAAGACAAAAGAATTACTGGCATTAGTCAGTGGCTGATGATCCAGCAGTGCTGTCAGTGATAAAAGGACTCTTTTACGTGTGTATGGAAGAATGGGAAATTCCAGCTCACAAGGGTCACAAATAGAAACATTTTCTGAAGTTAGAATCACAGCCGTTGTAACCCAAGGCAAGAATTTCCCTATTATCTAATGGTATAAACAGTAAAACCTTATTAAACCATCACCATTTGCTCAGCAGAGTGATATTTGTGAGGAATTACATAAGTAACAAAAAAACACATTAAATAAGCAAGGTGATATATGAAATGATAGGCATAATAAACACAAGGTATTCTGGTCATTGTTAAATGAAAAATTCCCACTCCATTTATTTTTCCCTCTCTTTTTGCCCTTAAAAAAAATAAAAAATTGAATGATAGATAATTCAACAAAATATTTTGAAAGGAGAAATGGCAGAAATTAAATGGGGCAAAACATATAACAGCTTACATAATATAATAGCTTATATAAGTGTATGTCTCAGTTGTTTCACTCTCCTAAAACTGCCAAAACAATCAGAGACTAACCTGAAATAGTGAAACTAGGTTATTTAATTCAGATACTACAATACACACTGAGGATAAAACCTACTGTAATAGTGGTACAGAACAATGCTATTGTGATGCATTGTTATGTTGTATGATACTTTAGTATACACATATCTACCTCCACCACGTTTTCTATGTTGACCAGCCAGCCGTCCATGCCGTAGTGCTGTGTGATTGCCACCATTTTATCTGCAAACTTCTTATAGGTCTCTTCCGATTCAATGATTTGGTGACACCGTTTTTTCCCATCGTCCCATTCCGTGATCAGAGTACCTGGAATGGTCAGCAAGGTTACCAGTTATACACGACATCTGAAGTTATCTGAAAAAGCTATATCTGATAAAACACTAACAAATGGAAATCAGTGAAGTATAAATCCTTATTGATGGGTGAAAAATTAAAACATGATACTTATGTATTCAAATTAATATATTAATTACCCAAATATGTTATCCACATAAGGTTAATATGATGTGTTTGATCAACAATTTGGGCTTTTTCTGTTTATATGATGCTTTAGGCATGAGGAAACCAATTGAAGGGATTTTTGTTAATAATCAAACATTCAACAAAACATTCTGTTCTGAGGCATTACCCATCATCTGGACACCGTGCCTGTGTGCCGTGTTGGTCCAGCCGGGTGGTGGCACTGTAAGGAGGTTATGACTGAAGTAGATGAAGGCGTCTATATACTGCCAGTGGTAGAACCTGTAGCTGTCCGCATCAGGAGACCCCTGTACAAATCTGTTCAAAAAAAAATTAGATAAAAACTTTTCAAGATGCCATGGCTATTTTTCTTGTTTTCATGATTATTCCATATCAATTCGGAAAATATTAAGCTCCAATTCTGTTCACTCTTTCCCATTAATATATACACTGAATTCAGACCTAAACATGATGGTAGAATTGTTTCGATATACCTGATATCATCATGGCAATTCTATGAAAACAACATTATTCTTGTAATTAATCATTGAAACAGAATTAAATACCAAGGAATTAAAACTTTAAACCATAAACAAGTAGTTAGGGTAAGAATGTTTTGATAATTGTCTGCAGCTATTCATTTTATTTGAACAATAAATTTTTCTTTCAAATTACACGAGATAGTTATTAAAAATGAGGACTTGACAAGTGACTAGGAGTTAGTCTATATAATCAAACAAAGAAGACAATACCCAGCATGTATCTTTTCAAGCTTGTATGTTCTCATAAACGGCAATATTTGCTCACCGATCCTGTAAGTATCCTCCCCTCATGTCATGACATAGTATTGTTTTCGGAGCATCACTAGCTATCGGAACTCTTCTGACTAGAGTTTCTGTGGCAGCAAACAGTTTATAGTTCTCAGGTTCAAACTCTAGTACATCTTCTACTGTCTTAAAGGGAAGACACTCTGGACCAGCCATCTCACCAGTCTAGTATAGATACCTGATGGTAAATTGGTCAAATCATTAAAATATGTGTTGATGTATATCTGGTATATTTCATTGGTTTTAATTGAAATCTTTTTGAGACATTAGTTACAGTACTCATTCTGATCACACTCAGATAGATTGCCACAAGAGTTCATTTAAAAAGCAAATTAGCACACAAACATTGTACATACATACTCATACCTGTATCTCTGAGATATCTATCACAGACTTTATACAGATTTTCATTTACTACACACTCATATAAAAAAAACTCTAATTGTCACTGTGTTGAATTCGCAGTGGTATGTTTCATAAGAGACATGAGCTTGCATGTTAAATTGGCAGCTTTGATGTACATGCCTACAACTGCACCAAGAATGAACAAACTGGATACAGCTCATTCCTGCTAATGTTTGGAAGGCAACCCAGGTTGCCAGTGGACTTGGCCTTCGGTGTTCTCAGAGGAGAGGAACATCAGAGCCATTCTAGGTATATGGGTGATTTAAGGACACGTTTAAAGGAGTCCTATGAGTTGGTGAGCAGGACATCCGAGAAGGCCAAGGAAAGGCAGAAAGAAATATTCGATCGAAGGGTAAGAGGAGCTACTATGGAATGTGGTGTAAGTTGAATTTGGGGAAAACTTATAAAATGTATGGTTCACCTCAGCTGGTCAGGAGCAGAGTGCCCAAGTTGGCCAAAGCCTTTACACAGGTAAGCTGAGGCATCCGTCCCGACCAATCGTATGGCCCGTCCTTAGTCAGGTGTCATAACAACTTACTCACTCACATGCACACTTTCACACCAGACAACATATGCAAATACAAAACATGTATAACAAAACCTTACACCTACAATATGTTTATTAGTAATAATTACTTACAATACAAAATATAAATTATGCCCTATTACATTGATATCACACAAAAATAGTGTTAAGGTTGATAAAGGCAGATTGAACATAAAAATTAGAGGCCAATACAGCATTGAAACCACTTCATCCTGGGATATATTGCTTTATGCTTATATTAATGAGGTCGAATCCCTTTACCTGTATTTAAAATGAAACCCTATTTCCCCTTTAACGTCCTGCTCCTCTGCCTCTCAATCACCAAAAGATGGAGGTGAGAGCACCATTCATTTATACAACATAGGATTCTCTTGTTACCAAGGGAATCATATCCATGCCAGATTTAGTTTAAATCACTTCAGCCCTTCTGGAATAGTAGTCTTTAACAGGAAATGTTGAGAATAGAGGGATGACAAATGGATGGATGCTACACCACAGCATAAACCCGCTACAGTCACTTGGTCCTTTTTATATGTGCTAGAAAATAGTCATGGACACATGTAGCACTGAGTAACCTAAGTTTCAGAGCTCTTATTAGGCAGACATGTCTTGTCATCATTACACTGAATACCATCTACATGCCGAGTGTCAGTCTCTGTCTATTTATAGCACATAAACCATAAATTCTTTGATAGCCCTAAGCCTATAGTCCAAAATTATCAAAATGTATCAGAAAAAAGGGGTAAACAAAATGAAAAAAATTTGCTTTTGTACTGTTCATTAAAACAATTCATATGCATTTTCAAATTGTTACAGAAATGCATAGGATATTTACCATTACTATGCATCATGCAGGAAATTCATAAAGGATGTAAATATAAAGACTGTGTATTTGGGCCACAGGCACTAGCCTCATAAGCTATAGCTAGCTGTCAACACATCAAATCAATAATATACATTGTATTATATTACCAGGTATAGGTGAATTGACAGACAAAGTTAGTACCTGTATTTGAAGTAAACAGTGTTTGTAGAATAGCTGAACTAACCATATACCATGTGACTGTCTAGTCTGAAATAACTGATTATGACTTCTTTAAAATATTTTGATGAGGCAGGGATATCTGCACCCTATCGAAACAGTTTAAAAATGAGATTGATAGTCAGTTAGTTCAGACTATGAACAGTTACAAGAATTTTGTAAGCAAAAAAAACCCAAGGAATTGTGGCAAGCTTAAATAAGAAATAAAACTGAAAATGTACCTTTTCCTTTTTTTTTTTTTAATTATTATTATTAACTTATCACCATCCAATAAAACAAAATAATAATAGTAAAAGTAAAACAGTGTGAGGTTATTTGCTTTTGGCTCATTTGTTCAATTGCTACAACTGTACAACGAGTAGTTAAAAACAATGGAGAACTGATAGAAAATAGTAGAGACACTGCAAATGTACCGAATGAATTCTTCTCCCGTGTATTTGTTCATGATGACAACAGAGCCACCAGAACTAAGGGAGAGAACCCACGAAAATTTACTGGAATCCATAGAACTGACGCAAGAAAAAGTTATTACGACCATAAGATCAACTAACCCCAACAAAGCTCCTGGACCCGACAACCTACACCCAAAATTCATTGTCAAAACATGTGATGCAATAGCCAAACCACTACAAATCGTAAATTCAAAGTCATTAGATGAGGGTGCATTGCCTAAAGATTGGAAGGAAGCGAACGTTACACCGATATTCAAAAAGGAAACCAAAACCAACCCAGGAAACTATCGCCCAATCAGTCTTACCTCGGTTCCATGCAAAATTCTGCAAAAAATAATCTGAAACGAACTAATGGCTTACCTGGAAGGAAACGAAATATTTACCAAACACCAACATGGCTTCCGTCTAGGAAAATCATGCACCACCCAACTATTAGAAATCCTGGAAGAATGGAACAAGACACTTGATAAGGGGAAAACGTTGACGTAATCTACCTGGATTTTAGCAAAGCCTTTGACAAAGTGTGTCATAGGCTCCTAATCCACAAACTGGAAAAATGTGGGATCGAAGGACAAATCTTAAACTGGATTAGAGCATTCCTGACAGGACTATCCCAACAAGTCATAATCAATGGAACTCCCTCACAGAGTCTGCCAGTACTAAGTGGGGTCCCAAAAGGGAGTGTACTCGGGCCAATTCTGTTCTTGATATATATCAATGACATGCCAGATGTATTGGAGTGTACTACAAAACTATTCGCGGACGACGCCAAAATATCAGCTAATAATTCCACCCCAGAAAATCGAGCTAGACTGCAACAGTGTATCGACAGAATGTGCCAATGGACAGAAAATTGGATGATGAAGCTGAATGTGGATAAATGCATTGAGCATATAGAAATTGGACATAAACCCAAGTCATCCAACTACTCGCTGACTACTAATCAACTAGCTGATATCTATAATACCATAAGTAGTAATTTAGACCAAGGTAAAGATGTGCGTTTTGTTTTCTGTGACATAAGTAAAGCATTTGATCGTGTATGGCATTTGGGCCTATTATATAAACTAAAAACATATGGTATTAAAGGTAAATTATATGTGACAGAAAACAAACGGTTATCTTTGAAGGTTATAAATCTAGTACCAAACCTATTTCTTCAGGGGTTCCTCAAGGATCTGTCCTTGGTCCCTTCCTCTTTCTTCTTTTTATTAATGATATTACTAACAATGTAACCTCTCATATAAAACTCTTTGCAGATGATACCTCTCTCTATGTTATAGTAAATAATAACAATGACCTTACAACACCTACTAACATGCTTAATGATGATCTCGAATTAATCTATGAATGGTCAAAGCAATGGCAGATCCTATTCAATCTGAATAAGACTGAAGCTATTAACTTCTCTCGTAGACACATTAACAATCATCCTCAACTGCTATTTAACAATACTCCAATTGCACAACATGAACACCATACTCACCTAGGACTACCATTTAACAGTAAAGGGACATGGTCAGATCACATTTCAAATATTTATTAAAAAGCTAACTCTAGACTAAGTATTCTTAGAATTTTAAAAACTACAGTTGATAGGAATACATTAAAAACATTATATGTCTCTTATATAACACGTGTTAGAATATTCTGATATAGTATTGGATAATTGTAACAAATCTGAATCAGATCTTTTAGAATCAGTTCAACTAGAAGCTATGCGTTTAATTACTGGCCTCAGACGAGGTACATCTCATCACATTCTGTATACTGAAACACAACTTGAAACATTACACACACGAAGACAAAATCATAAACTAACATTAATGTATAAGATTCTTAATAATTACACTCCAACTTATCTCGATAATATCATTCAATCATTTCTAAATATAAATAATAACTATACCTTCAGAAATAACAGATTCTTTAATATACCACAGACAAGAACTAGTTACTACAACTTATATGAATAGCTTCTTTCCTTCTACAATGGTAAAATGGAATGCACTTGATAGCAATGTACGAGACTTTATCTCAATTTCATCCTTTGAAAAGAAACTTAAAAATACTTTCAATACATCTGTCTCAGAAACTTTTATTAACTTTGTTCCGAGGAAACTTAACATCATTTTATGTCAGCTAAGAAATTTTAAAAGTGATCTTAACTTTGATAAGTTACAAGACCATCTGATTGATGATGCTTCCTGTGTATGTGGTGTACAGAGAGAAGATCTAATACATTTTTTTCTTTCGATGTCCTCTGTATTCTAATATTATATATTATATTACCACTATTTATAATTTATTAGGATATTTAAATCTGCACTGTTTATTATATGGTATTAGTAATGCATCGGACCAATTAAATAAAACTATTCTGATACATGTTGACTTTTATATTAAATCATCAAAACGTTTCGTTACTTATACATGCTAGATAAATTCCAAATTAATATTCATTTATTGTTATTATTATTATTATTATTATTCAGGCAAGTTTTGTCCCTTAAATAATGAGTATTAGACATAAGCTGGTGTGGGTGTGGGTGTGCATGTATGTGAGAGGAAAACGAATTACAACATTTTATATATTTAAACATTGTACATAGGTATCGGAAATAGAAGAAGACTGATATAGGCATAGCCTGTTGTCTAATTCTTTTGTCAATACTGTTCTAATAAATATCTTCTTTAATGTTAACTTATATGTTTGTATTATATATGTATTGTCAATAAAATACTTTTGAAATTGAAATCTACATGTATGTGAACAAACGAATGGAATTGTTTTAAAATCCCATTACTACTATAGACATTGCTACACTATTATGATAAAGGAAATAATAAGTGCGCCACCGGAAAAGTAAGTCGCAAGTCAATGAAATAACACACCCACACCACAAGCTTGAACAAGCTTTCAACGATGCCCCATCAGCAAATCAGCAATTCAGCAATATTTTTCATTGACGCAGCCAGCAGTGTTCTTTTCAGTACCAACACGCAGCGCAGTGAGGCGCAAAAGACCAAAGCACCCAATCTGGACCTCATCAACACGGAAGTTTACTGTCATCACGGAAATTTACTGTCAACACGGAAGTTTACTGTCATCACGGAAATTTACTGTCAACACGGAAGTTTAATGTCATCACGGAAATTTACTGTCAACACGGAAGTTTACTGTCATCACGGAAATTTACTGTCAACACGGAAGTTTACTGTCATCACGGAAATTTACTGTCAACACGGAAGTTTACCTGTTTACTGACAGTATGGACTTCTTTTCGAAATACTTCAGTAACAAAAAAAAGTTTCATGTTTTGATTTGACAGAAGTACATGTAAACGGCAGGATTGAACGCCATTTTATAAACAATTCATGCGAGATCGGGCAATGTACTGTACTGTACTGTAACTCAAAATGTATGCTTGCCTAACTACAACAAGAGGCCCAAGGGCCTTAGCGGTCACCTGAGTTATATCATAGATACTGGTAGCTTTATTTTATTGTTTAGATGTGATGTGGAAATCAGCATGTAAACTAAGTGAAATACAATACTTGTCATGTCATCAATGGATAAGAATTTGAAAATATTGGTAAATGTTCCCTTTGGGGCCCCGCCCTAGCCCCTGGGGATGGGGCAGGAATCCTAATTTTACAAAGTAAAACTCTCATTTACCCAAGATGATTCTGACTAAGTTTGAGCAATTTTCTGCTGAAAATGGATAAAATATATACCGAAAAGTGTTATTTCCCTATAT